GTGACAAAAATATTTATAATAGTCGTGACACTTAAGTTTATCCTTTGTTCTCCATTCAAAAATATTTTAGTTGTTTGATTGTTTTGTAATTAAGTTCCCTGGATGCTTGTTAACTAGATCTGGTTACAGAAAAAAAAACGAACAAAAAAAATATTTTTCATTCTGATCAAAATTGAAATGCATTGGATGTTATTTTGTTTGCCCCTGGATTGCTTTTCTCTTTTCTGACCATTTTACCCCTAGACACCAATGCATGGATCTTTGCTCTATTTTGGTAACATAAGCCCCTCTACGATTTTTTTTGTCTCCCTATGGTTTCATTTTGTTTTGGAATTATATGGTAAAATGATGAATTTGCCCTAAATCATTAAATGCATGTGATTGAACAACTTTAATGTCTTCAAGTTTCAGCCCCTTTCCTTGAATTGCCAAACAATTGGAACAAATACCAAAATACCCTTTTAACCCTACAATTTCACAAGAAAAGTTTCAATTTCAATTCCAATTCCAATTCCTTCAATACCAACTCTTTATCTACTTCCTTGATTTGTGAGATTTGTGACATTTTTCAATAGATTCACGTGATGGACCTTCTTTCTGCAACAACATTGCCCCTGCTTCTTAATCCAAAAAAATCAAAAATAGAACATAATATTTACAACTTCCAATTCCAATTCCAATTCCTTCAATACCAACTCTTTAGACAGATTCTATTCCTTCCAAAAAAAAACATTAACTCTCTTACCAAACCAATGTTGCAATCAACCTTCTTGTCCTTAACTCTCTTAGCCTTGTTTTTCCTTCTTTTCGGCTTCTCTTCGGCTTCAGTGTCATGTCATTCACAGAGAGCTCCTCCGTATTATCCTCTTCAACAAGTCTGTGCAAAAACTTGGGTCATTAATCACCCATATATACAATAATGTAAATTTCCATTATTTGGTTAATTAACCTTGTTTAATTCACGTGTGTCTGTGTGTATGCATGCTTCATTTCTGTAATTTGATAACTCATATTTTCTGTAAAACTTCATTTCCTTTCTGTATCTGTAATAAAATAATTACTTTTTTTTTTTAACATCTCCCTAATTTCCCTGATTCTGTGGGACCAGGGAGCTTCTGAAAGGTGAATCAGAGGGACTTTTGAAACTTCCTGCATTCCGCCCTTATGTTGAGTTCTATGCAAAGGTATATTGTGAACTTATTATTATTATAATATAATAACCAAATGTGATGCTAAGTAAACTTTGATCTTTTATTCACGGGGTAGAAACTAGAGAGGTTCCTTCCATAGGAAACCTAAAAGTGCACACTAAATGTGCACTTTTAAAACAAAGCCATTCCCATTGCTTTAATTAAGTAGAATTTTAATATAAAATGTTACGTTTTAATAGAATTTAGTTTTAAGCCATGTCATGGTTGTTTATAGGTTTGACTGAAAGGGTGATCCAAAGTTCCATCAGTGAAAAACTTTTTAGTTTTGGTTTTGGATGTTTTTTGAATGATATTTTGGTAAACTTTGATAGTTTTAGTATTGTAATGTTTGGTTGTATTGTTATTCGATGTTTTTTAGTATAAAAATTTGATGATTGTAGTATTTTTTTTCTTTTAGAATCATAAAAAAAATGATCTTACAAGTTCGCGACGGATTGGTGAGAATAAAAAAAATATTTTAATGCATCAATTTTGCGAGGGATTAGCTACGAAAAAAATATCATGTCTAAAGTTTGTGACAGATCAGTGATGGAACAAAAAAAAAATTAATGTATAAATTTTGCAAGAGATTAGCTATGGAAAAAACCATGTCCAAAGCTTGCGACAGATCAGCGATGGAAAAAAAAATCGAATTCTGCAAGGGATTTGCTACGGAAAAAAAAACTGTTCAAGAAAATTTGCGATAGAACAGTGATGAAATGACTTTATCAAATTATGTCGCTAATGCCCTGAGTAAATGTATTGAGTGACATTCAGCGACGGATATTTTGTCGCTACATTTGTCGCAAGGAAAAACCTCTCCGTCGCTAAAACCCTCGCTGAGAAATTAGCCACCTATTAATTACCTATGGAGTAAATCCATCGTTGATCCATCGCAAACAACATTTAGCGACGGATAAAAACTCATGTTTCTAGTAGTGTTGTAACTCTAGCCTTTCACTAGCTTTTTTTTATTTAAAAAAAACCCTTTGGTTTAAAAAAAACATCATATAAATAATACCCACTTATATTTTTTGAGACTTATTGAGCATATTCAATGTCTTAGCATATGTGAAATTTTTTGCCATCAACAAAGACCGGACTGACATTTTCAAATACAGGAAGGTATTGAAAGGCTAATACATTTGTAGTGTTGTTCCTTTATGAAACACGTGCTTGCATCTCATGAGAACAAATTATGAGTAATGTGAAATATGTTTAATGGATGATGAAGTATTCAGATTCATATGCAAACCTTCATACACCAAAACATACAAACAAACATTTCATTTATATTTATACTCATACAAATAACTTGACAGAAAATAAAACAGGTTTTAGATGTTAGGTTTTCTATGTATCAAAAACACATAAACTAGGTAGTGAAAAAATAAATTATGATATACCTAAGCATACATGCAACCTACGGATGTATGCCTTCGTGCTTGAGCTCTCGTGCTCGTGACCTTGTTTACATGAAAATGACTCAAACTGGAATCCCTTTCTTGGTTCATAACCAGTAAACTCAAAAGTGCATAATCAAAATATAACTAGGAGGAGTTAAACTCTTAATGAATTCCTCCACAAAAAGGGACAAAGAAGACGCGAAGCTTCAAGCCAAGAATAAGTAAGGATTATGGCTTTTGATATCTTCCACTGTGTTTGTTGGATTAAGTGTCGAATCCCATAACTATAATTTGTATATACTTGAACTGATTGTAGCATAGTTTTTTTGGGTTGTCCTCATAACTAGCAACTGGACGACATGACTTTTGGAAAGAGACAGAGAGGTTGATTTATTATATAATTAATAAATTGAAATAAATAATTTGTTAATATGTTGTGAGAACAATATATTAATTACAAATAGTTATATATAATTAATATTTAATCAGAAATTAATAAAAATTAAAAGAATTAATTAAAAGTCTAGGGTCTAATGTGCAATTGTTCAATAGTTGAACAAGAGGCTCCAGAACCTTCTTGGAGAAGGTTTGACGATTTCAATAAGGATATTCTAAGGTTTCTATAAGTATAAATAAGGCGTTGGATAATTAACCATTTGAAATATTATTATTATCTTAAAATTTGGGTTATGTAGAGCATCCTTGTTGGACAATAAAAGGGCCCTCATCCCAAAGGATTTTGGCCACTCATATCTTTAGACGTATAACCAAAATTCTTATATGCCCCTCTCCTCTCTCCATATTCATCTTGTTGCTAGTGTTGGGTGTGAACCACTAGAGGAACGGTATTTGTGGTGCTTTCTCTCAAGGCTTCAACAATACAAAGTTCTTTGTTATTTGTCAACAACAATCAAGGTATATTTCTCTTAGCCCTAATCATATTTTCGAAAATATGTTAGGTATGCTAGTGTTTCTTATTTGATGTTGAAAGTTGTATATTTAATTAGAGAAAACATATATCTTATTCTAGATTTGCATGCACACTCAAATTTTTTTATTTTTTTATTTTTTTTTGTTTTGCATAAAACCGATATCTTTAACATTCCACCCTTATGTGATGAGATATCCCAAAATGAAATTCTTTTTAATTCTTATACGAATACTATCCACCATAGGTTCTATAGTATTCCCGATTAATAAGCTATTGATAAATTGCTATTCAACCCTTAAATTAATTAGACTATTAATTAATTCTCATAATATTTTCAAATTACTTTATAATTAGTTATTAAATCATAATACGTAATAAATCAATTCCCCTTTTGTTGATTCTACTTGATTTGAGTATTGAAGGCAACTCAAGAGAACCTTCCTATTATTGTAGATATCAACACTAGTTAATGATCTTGGAGATACTTTCCATCAGTCTACCACTTTGACAGGACATCCACTATAGATGACGATGTTTTGTCAAAACGTAATACTTGCAGCACAATTTGGAATCACATTGCTCCAACCAAGGAAAACATCTTAAGAAAACATCTTAATTTGCATGTTAGGCTTGGTCATCTATACACTAGATTGAACCTCCTTAGAATTAGGATCCCTTTGCAATCATCTATATGCACCCTCCGTGCAGCAAGCAATGAATTTGAGTCACACTTATTTCTTGACTACCTTAAAGACATTGAGGTAAATGTGATTTTGGGTCATTGGTGGAGGGATATCCCAATTACAGGTGTGCCCATCATGTATTTGTTTTTGAAGTTGGACCACCTCTACTCTGATGGCCCTGTTATGGATATTGTAGATATGGGAAGAAGGTTGTCTTCTGTTGGAAATGTTATGGATAATGTAGATACGGCAATGAGGTTGTCTTCCGTTTGAAATTCAAGAGCAGCAAAGAGTTAGTAGGTGATCCAAGTATTATATAGCTAGAAATGATGAATAGTTTTGTTAGTAAATCTGCTCTCTCAATCCTAGCAGATGTGAAAGTTTTTGCCATCAACAAGGGTTGGACTGACATTTTCAAATACGGGAAGGTATTGAAACGCTAATACATTTGAAGTGTTGTTCCTTTATGAAACGTGTGCTTGCATCTCATGAGAATAGATTATGAGTAATGTGAAATATGTTTAATGGATCATGAAGTATTCAGATTCATATGCATACATTCATACACCAACACATACAAATACACATTTCATATATATTTATACTCACACAAATAACTCGAGAGAAAATAAAACAGGTTTTAAACAAAGATTAATCCAACCTGTAAACAAAGAAAACTACATCCGCTACTTTTATCAGCAAAGGAATGTATAAGATTGACCAGTAGATGTTTTCTACTTAGGATTTTTTAATAGATCGAAGTAGTTGATGTATATATACAGTTCAAGTTGGCCTCTGTTATAACAAAAGTTCATGTTTAACCTTTTGACGATTTATCTAATACACTAAACATAAGAGGCCTATACAGTTAATGTAATCCATATGGTCCGGCTTTATTGACTGAAGTAATTGGCATCTGTGATGCACACATGTGGCTGGTAGAGGATATCACCCAAGCAAATTCAGCCTGAAATGAAACATTAACCCATAAAACCTTATGAGTCCACAATAGAGGTGACAATTACAAACTGCACATATTAAAAATTAATCATAATAACTGTAGGTTGGGCAACTTACAGGGGAGCCTTCCTTTCGTCTTTTATCTCATCTTCTAAGGATTCGTCTCAGCCAACCACTTCATCCTATTTATTATAGTGAACATTGGTTAACTTTTTTGGTTTGCCACACAAAAAAAAAAACTTATTGAAAAACCTATGGATGCAAAAATTAAAATTAATAAAACTAAAGACTCTGTCAGATCTTTTTTGCTTTAAAAAGATCTAATACTGGATCACCAAGTATCAGTATCTTTCTTGATATTTACGGAAAAAGCATGTAAAGAACTAAAGATCAGATCTGCAACACGGTCTCCATAATCTCCAAACAGTATTCAATAAGAATTGAAGTAGATGTCAGCTTTAGACTAATGAAATTAACGTTACTAGATATAGCATAAATTGTAAAGTTGAGCAGAAAAATTGATTGGAATCCAAACATTTACATAAGAAAACGTTATACAAATTTACCTTCTCAAGCTAGGGGCCTCGGACAATCCAACAAAACCAACCCTTGAAATGTTATGAACACCTAACTGATAACGATCTGATTCTACTTGGCTGACAACAGCATACAGATCAATGTATTGTGTGAGTGACAGTCGAACAGCATAATCTTCGAAACACCAAAGTATATATGGCGGATCTTTACTAATTTTTAGATCTATGTGCATGATGAAGGAAAAAAAAATCGACACATAAAACTCTTGGTGATTATCATAAGTCGATAACTTAATGGAAACAATGCATGATTTTCATATATGTAAGAAACGATTGGTGATCAAGATTGACAGCGGCTGTGAAATCGTATTGAAATGAAACTTAACATATCGTATATATATAGTGTGGGCGTAACCCTAAACCTGATATCTAGATCTAGCGTTGAATATTGGATTACCTAATTATTAGATTAATCACACCCTGGTGTTTTTATATTAGCACATTGTGGTACATTGATTGGGACTTTGTAATTTATATATATTTGGATTCCTATTACTATTTTAAGTCAATGTGAGTTTCACAACACGTTCAAACATGCTATGGACGATTAAATCTCAAGAATTAAATTTGTTGGTAAATATCCATTGATTTTCGATAAATAATTGCAAGAATCACGTACACCTGATAATAATATATTTGTGAATTTGGTATAACTTTAAAAACTAATGGTGGATATATCAACTTACCAAACTCATCTATGGGCAATGTAATAACTGTGTCAGGCATATGTTGCATGCTACTCCACCGTGACTAACATGAAGAAACCCTAGATTTCTCATCCGAAACAACATACCTTACTGTAAATGCTCTACGTTCCTCAACAAACAATAAGGGGGAACAAAAAAAAAGTGGTAAAAAATAAAACAATTGTAAGGGTGTTCTACTATTAATCATTTTGCATGAAATGAACATCTAATAGAATAAAAATATGCATGCTTTCTAAGCAATGGACAAGCATATTTCACAACTCAACAACACAACAATTTTTCTATGATTTTGAGAACTATAACTTGCATCCAACCACCTAATTCTAACCATATAAGGGCCTTGGTTAAGCTGTTTCAATGGCCCCACAAATAGTCTTTTGCTTCTCGGTATCCCACCATCAAACACTTGCAACATCATGTATGTCTTTCTTGATTCCGGATGGATAATGTAGCATCCGCACTTAGGGCCTAAAACTTTTAGATCTAACGTTTTCTAGGTTTAAAACTGTATGTGATCAATTGGCTGCAATCGGCCAACCTGTTGATGATATGGACAAGATCCACTGGTTTCTTTGTGGCCTTGGCCCTTCGTTTGAGACCTTCTCTCACTACAAACAATTTGACATTTAGTGGCATACATCTTCTATGGCATATATTTTTTGTGCCACTATATTAAGTTTTTAGTGGCATATTTTATATGCCACTATAAATATTGATAGATTTAATGGCACTTACCATTTTACACCACTAATATTCATATTTAATAGTGGCATACTAATTTGATATGACATTAAAGCTTATAAATTATATGCCGTACAAGTCATTATATGCCACTAAAGTTTTATTAAGATTCTATCGATGCTATTTTATGCCATTATAAGTTTGTTTCTCTTTTTTATGTCTTTTAAAAAGGGGAAAAACCTCATTTCCTTCTATCTGAAAAATATAAACGTGAAAAAGCAAGTCGTACGTAAAGTCGTTGAGCTCTATCGCATCCCCGATCTTCAATTCCATTTATCGAATATTGGAATCGTAAGTAGACCACTAGAAAAAGATGTATTATGTCGTAAAAATCCTCGATGCTTCTTATTTGTAGTGTCATTTTATATTTATGTTTCGAACTCCTAGACAAAGTTCAAAATACATAGACGATAAGGGTTCAAAACACATAGACAATTAGGGTTCTCGACAATTAAGGTTCTTATTTGATTTTGATTTCTATGGATTTAATGAGCCTTCTGCATGTAACTGTGTCATACTCGATGCTTCAAGCAATTTTTCATCATTCTAGTTCACTTGCACCTTCATCGTATTAGGCTGTTAACCGAAGAACCACCACCCATGGGTGCGATTTCTAGGACTTGGATGAACCTTCATTATCCCAATGTTTATCGCTTAGAAATCCTTTCTCTATGATGATCACTGAACGAAAAACCTCACCAACGATCATCCGCTGCACGATCTCCACCAGCTGCAGTGATACAACTAAGGCTAACATAGCTCCTCAGCCGATACCTTGGTGTTGCAAAATAGATTCACTGGATAATGCGGCTTCGTTGCAAAAATGGTTGATAGATTCCGGTTTGCCGCCTCAAAAAATGAAGAGAGGGGTCTTGTTGTGAATAATAACACCAGGAAGGGGGGAGAAAATTCTATTTGTACCTCCCTCACTCGTCATCTCCACCAATTCGGTATGATATCTCATATTTGATTATTACATACATAGACCTTAACGATGCATCTATGTTGCTCAAAAAGTGATTTGATTCAAAGATTCATTCAACTGACCATCACATTTGGAGAGTAAATTAGGTTACATCTTAAAGCTTCAAAGCATGTCCAGTTAGGGCATTGTAATGAAGATTTATTGATAATACATACACTACTAGAAAAAAAGGCCTTTTACGACGCGCAAAACACGACGCTCTTTGATTTATGTTACCCATTAGAGAGCGACATTAAAAAAGTGTCATCTCTTCAAAAATTTTAAGGATTTAGGTCGCGCATTCTTGAGTGCCCTTAAATTAGTGTCTCATGTAAAAATATTAAAAACACGGAGGGCACCTATAATAAAAAGGGCGTCCTCTACAAATGTCGCTTTATAATTTTAATAAACGCGCGTTTCTGGGACTCAGGGGGAAACTAAATCCCCCAAAATTTTGAACACCCGCTTCCTCTTCCTCTCTACTCTCTACACCCGCCAAATCGACTTCATTCTCTCCCTTCTTTCTCTCTGCAAACCCCTTCTTCTCCGATCGACTTTCACTTCCTTCTATGTGCGAACCCTAATCAAACATAACACATTTGAAATAGTAATATCTTCTTTCATTTTCTCCCCTGCTACTCTCTGTAAAACCTAGCAGCCGCCACCACTAGAATCATGGAAAATCCCCAAAAATTTTGAAGTACCCCGCTCTCTCCCCCTTCACCTCTACCGTACTCCATCTACAATGACTCCCCACGTTTACAAACCCTAGTCTAGTTGCGCTTCTAGCCTTGGTCCTATTTCTTCATCCATTCAGCAAATTAGGGGAACACGACTTCTTATTCATCCCTCAACTTCATCTTCTCAATCAAGAAAAAAGGATTATGGTTTTTTTTTCGTGCATCTGCATCGTCTTGGTGGCGATAAACTCTCTAAGGTTCGTTAATAGTAACCCATTCCTGATTTTTTCTCCCAAATATGGTAAAGTTGTTCGTTTAATTAAAGTTTCCTTTCTTCAACAAAAATTGTGTTTAACTACGGCCGACAACTACGATCTCCTATTTCTCCCAGGAATGGGAGGTGTTACTATGCTACGAAAAGGACGCTTCTACAATCTCCTATTTCTTCAACAAAAAAGTTTATGATGGCGGAGTCGACAACTACGGCTGCCACGACTACTACTGTGAGTATGTTTTTTCTGATTTTTCATTATATTGATTAAATTTCAGTTTAAAATTTGTGTTTAACTACTTGATGTTTGTCTTTAAAATGTTGAGAGTGATGAATCTGTTTGGTTTTATTTTTGAACAGAAGAACTTTATTTCTTCATCCCCTGTAGATCATCTCGAAAATCTCTACCCCTCTCTTAATGTTATTTTGTTGAACCTCAGTTTGATGTTTTATTTTATATTTTACAATGAATCGATGCTTAAAGTATGTGATTTTGGCATTTGTTTTCGATGGTTATAAATGTACAATTAAAGTAAATGGGTCAGAAAAAAGAGAGCATATATGCACTCCAAGTTATCGACAAAATGCTTGAAAGAGCAATCTTCTACATATGAAAACAATGTGTACCTGAATTAGATGCCAGATCTTGTTCATGGTAACTGAGTTACCACTAGAAGAATCCAGGCCAAGATTGTGATCATATGCATTCTTAAAAGCAGTAGCTGACTGAAAAATGGAACAAAATACACATTAATAAATAAATCGAGCAACAAAAGTATGATAAGTTGATGGACTTACTTTATATTCTAAACTACGTTTTCTTGCATCATTGAGTTTTCTCACAACCTGGACATATGTTGCAGCCTTTTTATCAACTATTGCCAAAAGCTCCATGTTAGAAGGACCAGATGAAATGTGAGGACTAGAAAATAGAGATAATATTGGCCCTGATCGGTTAGCCCCAATGCTTGAATCAGTTACATTGGTCCTTGCTAAACTGGAGATGCGGCTCAAGCTGTGAAGAAAGTCCCTTTTTTCCTTTTGCCAGTCATCCTGACAGATAGAAAAAAAAAATAGGTAATTTAGTATTAAATAGGCGGTAAAAGGGTAATATAGTAGATATCAGAATACAGAATTGAAGTGTAACTTTGACTTTGTGTAGAAACTAACCTCTAAAATTGTCATCATGTAGTCACTAAAGTTTATGAGATTATCTTTCTGGGCTTCCTGAACAGCAGAAACCATTGCCATTTCACGAACCTGAGATTATGAAAATGTAACATAAAGAGCATGAATGTATAACCATGTGAGCCTCCTGCAAATGGGCTAGGTTAGAGTCCTTTTTTCTATTAAAAATGATTGAACATTTAATCTTTTTTATTTTATTTATATATTTTGGTATTTAGGGCCTCCAAATGGGGAAAGCAACTTTGAAGAAGTAGTGGAGTTTGATCCAATTAAGCATCATAATTTCTTCTGTCCTTGGGTTAATGGAAATGTTGTTGCAGCACGGGTTGAGGTGTTGCTGCAGCTTCTTTCTTACCCTTCTTGAAGTTTGTCTTCAATAGTCGTGCATCCAATTAAAGTAAGATCATTTTCTATTAATTATGCCACCTGTTTTTTTTTTTTTTTTTTTTTTTTGGAGTTTCACATGTTTTTAAATATAAATATAAATATTTTTTTTTTGTAAATTTTGAAGGAGTTTCACATGTTTTTTTTGGGGTTACTTCAATGCTTTGTTTTATGACCTAATTTAAAAAGCTTAACCGAACCGAAGCTTATCTGATTATTTATTTACAGGTTTTCTCAGTCTCCATTACACTCCAATAATTTGTATTCTTAGATATAAAGTTCTCGAACTTTTTTGTTATAATATATTGCGAAATTCAACAAATATCTTCCTCATGCTTTCATGGACTTTGACTTCAAGAAGACACCATTTCTTTCATTGCTATTTTTATTGCTTTATGCAACCAAAAAAACATAAAACCTAAAAATAAATCCAAAAAAATGACCTCTAATCTGTTAATCTTTATCATGCAACAGTGCTTTGGTGGATTTTCTACCTGAACCACAGACATGGGAGGGTTCTGTTGCATGCATTAGCGAAACCACTGCTTCAGCTGCTAGACAATTAGGCTTAACAAGTGTATATCGCCCATCTACCCCTGGTCTTCACGGGTAATATATATATATATATATATATATATATATATATATATATATATATATATATTATTTATTTATATTTATTATTTTATAGTATTAATATAAAATTGGCTATGGAAATTTTACATATACATGAACATAGACAAATTTTGCAATTATTCAAATAACTGTAACCTGATTTTTATTTCACCATAGGTTGGCGAGCTAGCGGGAATAGTTGTGGGGGCAACTGTCATGCTTAATATTCTTATAGATGGGTACGTATAAATTGAACCTTCTTAATATTCTGATAACTGGGTATGTTGATAGAAGTTTTTTTTTTTTTTTTAAAAAAAAGGGGTAACCTCTTTGTTCACATTTTTCCCTTTGTTGAAATGATATAGGCCACTGACAGGAGCATCAATGAACTCAGCAAGAACCTTGGGACCAGCAAGAGCTGCAAATAACTACAAAGGCATATGGATCTACCTTACAGCTCCCATCCTTGGCGCACTAGCTGGTACAGGTATTTACACAGCAGTGAAACTGCTTGAGGAAGATGATGTATAGCATTTATGTGACCATAATGCCCTGAGGAAGTTTTCTAAGATGTTTTAACCTCTCAAATGTGTATGAATCTGCTGACCGGTTATGATGGTTCCAAGTTATGGTGGTGATATCATAGAGAAGTGGGGATATAGATGATTCTTTCATTGCTGACCTAGTTGGTTGGTCTTGCCTCTTGTCAAATCAAAGCAGGCTCTCCTTCTCGTGGAGAGCGCTTAGCCAAGTACAATCAGGTAAAAACTGAACAAAACTTAAATTTGTTTACCAATTAATGAAAATCTAGACATTTCTTGAGATAAAAAAATGAATGCAACAGATAGCAATGTGCTTTCTTTGAAAAATATATACCATTTATAACATATTTTATCCAAATAGAAAGGATATGTAGAAGATTTTTATATTATAATGTCGTAATAAGAAAAGCAAATGGAAAGCAAAATTTTATTCTTTATTAAGTTTAATGCCCGTGTCCAAGAGTGATCATATTTGATTAACAAACTTCTGACGGGAGTGTGAAGGTGGCAGTTGAGCTATAATCACGACTAGGCTCGAGTCGTTGTGGTTGTCGATCGATTTCAGGTGATGTACTTTAGATACTTTTCCTACATATGGACCCAATATTATCCCTCCCCGGACTTAAAATGCTTTCAGTTAAGTTTCTAATTATCTACACATATAATCAGCATAAAGAATCTCTTATATTTTATGTAAGTTTAATTAAAATAAATAGTCCCTTGTTTTTTTTTTTCAGGATACCAGGAGAGATTCTACTTCAATCTAGGTAACACTGGCTTCAAGGTCCGTTTTTTATACAATCATACCCATGTTTCATATTAAATTGACACTTTGACTTTTCAATGTAAGGGTAAGATAGTCATTTAGTCTTTTGATAATTTATATTTTATTGTGCAGGTGTTCCAAACCAAGTTTGCTAAGATAAGCATGGGTACGAATTTCTCAATCCTTTTACCCAATTGCTCTCCTCCCAACACGTTAAAATTAATGATTGTTTTGATTTTTTTGGCACTAACACTTGGATGATGCTTACTTTGACTTGCTGTTGGAGAGGGTAGTGGAGTGGGCTTGCTGAGTGCTGATTGTGTGTTTGATGGATGAATTGGTCCTGATTTGTGGCTGGATACTAAAGGTGATGAATGCCACAAGTTATTCTCATTATTGTTTGTTTTTTTATGTTAGTTTTGCGAGAACATATGTATTTAGCTTTCAAGGAGATGACTGCCTCATCTGTCGTGGGTCACGCTCCATATTACTGCTTGCAGCAGAAGCAGAAAACGGTGCTGATTTGTTTCTTTCTACTTAGTATTTCTTACTGGTTGTGAACAAGCCTCTCATCTCACATTTGAGTTTATAGGAATCAACAATCACTATGAAACTTCTAGTGTTTAGATTTCTTACTGGTTGTGAACATTTGTTTCTTCCCTTTCTACCCTTCACTTGCAGGTTGATGATTTGTCAAGAATGTTCAGACTATTTTCCAAAAATACCCCATGGATTGGATCCTGTCTCTAGTATGTTTAAAAAGGTTTGTGATTTAGAAGCTTTGGAGGAAACGAGACTCAAGCAAAAGTAAACACATAGAGAGTTGTTGGCACATAGTAAGCTAGATAATGCAATTGTATATAAATGAGTTCATTTTATTATAACATTTACTCACTATTGGAATAATTATTTGTATTTGACATATTAGTGAAATGAATTATCTTTGTTATTTATGGTATTTTATTTTGTATTATGAGATTTTTAATGTATTATTTAATTTAAAATTAGTAAATCTATAAATAATATTTTTTTTAAACATTTAAGATTATGATACGCAAAAATGTGTGTCATCTTCATTTATGACATGGCCTTTCTTGACAGGGGCTTTCTTGATACGCATTGCGTGTCATTAACACGCGCGTCGTAAGGTTATGACACGCGAATGCGTGTCGTCTTCCTTTATGACAGGGTCTTCCTTGATACGCATTGCGCGTCGTAAATGCGCGTTGTCTATAGACGACGCGCAAAAGCGCGTCGTCTCTCTTTATGACAGGGCCTTCCTTGACGCGCATTTGCGCGTCGTCTGAGCCTTTTACGACGCGCAATGAGCGTCGTAAAAGGCTGTTTTTCTAGTAGTGTTTTAACATTTTAAATTGAATATTATTCTTGTAACCAAAATGCATAGCTTAACTAGTTATTAACAATATTCGACCAAAATGCATGATTAAATCACACATTTTCTACTTTTACATATTTTAAGATAAATCTTTTGAATACAAAAAAAAAGTTTACATAAATACCCCTGATCAAATATATGTTGTGAGCCCCTCCTTGGTTATTTGGTGCCTGTAGAGTTGTCTCTTTGCCCACAATTCAAAACGCATCATCTTTGCAAAGTACTCTTTTGTGTGGGACTTTGGTTTTATGACGTTCAGCCATCACTCTTACATTAAGATTATCAAATCTATAGAGAAACTGAAAATATATTTATTTTTAAAGTACAACTTATATTTCAAGTGTTGAAACATATTTGGCTTATGGTTATACTACATGATAGTAAACATAACTATTAATGCTAATAACATAAATCGTTACTAAATTATTTGAATTTTTTTTGTTAATTTAGTCAGATAAGTTATAATTGTCTAGGATAAGTGGTAACTTAATAACCCCTAATAAATAAATATAAATCATTTGGGCTTTAGTCTTGTAAATGAAATGAGAAATAGTTATTTGATGTATTCACATAACTGAAAAATATAAATTAATAGTAACAGAAAATCCAAATTTCTCAGCTAAACATGCAATATAATAACATTTTTCTAAAGATACATTGCAATAACTGTAACATCTCGAAATCACAGGAGTAGAGTTGAAGGGCTAAAAGTGTAAGTTTCGGAGGGTGACTCGGCGAGTCCATGGGTAGACTCGGCGAGTCAGGTCGCGGCAATGGTCGCGTGTCAAGTGGCCTACTCGGCGAGTCCTTAGGATGGACTCGGCGAGTAGGTGCTGTATGGAGAAAACCCTAATTTTCGGGGTTGAGCCCTATATAAAGAGCATAATACCCCTCCACAGCCTCCCTTATTCCCCCCTTGAGTTCCAGAAACCCTAAACTCGTGGAGGGATCATTGGTGGAGCCAATTAGAGCTTGGAGAGGTGTTGTTTGAAGAGATCTTGAAGGAGAAGTGGTTTGGATCAAAGGGCTTTGCTTGGATCCGAGTTTGGCTGCTATTGAGGCATCTTTTGGAGGTAATATCTTCGTCCTTAGGCTGTGCATTCCTAGTTCCATCATTTTGGGTTGTGTGGGGTGCTTGGTTGTGTGACATTTTGATGTTGGAGGTTGGATCTGAGGTTGCTACCTTAGATCTGGAGTGGAGAAGACCTTAAGAGCATTAAAGCCCCTATCTTTGTGTTGTTAATGAAGCTACCATGTCCCAAACCTTAGTTCTAAGGTGAAAATGGCTTAGATCTCGTTAGATTCACGTAAAGTTTGCCACTTTACGTGATGGATGGATTGTAGGAGGTTGGATCTATGTTTTGGATCAATTGCATGGCCTGAGATGCTTCTGTATGGATTCAGACCGGTGGAACTCGGCGAGTCATATGGGTGGACTCGACGAGTTGCTTGAAGATGGCCTGGAACTCGACGAGTTGGAAGAACAACTCGGCGAGTAGGTTGAAGATGGCCTTGGACTCGACGAGTCCATTTGGACTTGGCGAGTCTTGTCGAGGAAGTCCCAATATTTCTGGTTGAGTCGATGAATCGGTGAGTTGAGGGATGACTCGGTGAGTTGGGTGCGAGCAGACTCAGAGTTGTTGCACTCGACGAGTCTTGGGGTGACTCGGCGAGTTGGGTCGCTAATTGAGGGAAGTTCTGAGCATAAGGACTCGGTGAGTCATCGGGTTGACTCGGCGAGTAGGGTCAGTCAGGGGTTGACTTTGACTTGTCCAGGGTGGACCAGTTGTCTTCCAGGGTATTTTGGTAATTAAGGGTATTGATTGGGTTATTGTTTGATGTTCAGTGGAGGAGTTGTGTCAGAGTTCGGAGCAGCGGGATCTTATCTTTTCAGCCGTCAGTTTCGAGGTGAGTTATCCTCACTATATCAACAGGGTCTAAGGCACCAAGGCCGGCCCTTTATTGTATTGAGATTCATTTATGTCTATCATGTTATTGTTGGTTGTGTCTGCATCCTGGTAGTTAGGATGGTACATGCTAGGGGACCTTGTTAAGGTCAGTTTTTCGATATACAGAGTGATGCTATGCTAGTGACCGGTTAGGTCGGTAGCCCGGTTAGGGTAATGATATGCTATGTGATCTGCTTACTCGGTTTGTTGATTATGACTGTTATATGAATGTATGTTTTGTGCACATGGTTGTTTGGACTATAGATGGGTTGAGGCGGGTCCTGCTTTGTGCTGTAGGCCAAGATACCCAGGGCGGACCGGTTGTTCCGAAGGCCCAGTGCGGTCCGGATAGGCTGTAGGCCCCACGTGGGCGGACCAGACGTGCCAAGGCTCGAAGAGTGGACCAGGCCGACTGTACGCCCGATGCGGGCGGACCAGTCACACTGTAGACTCAGAGAGTGGACCACGTGGGTTGAAGGCCCGATGCGGGCGGACCAACCCCACTGTAGACTCGAAAGACATGACTAGACCCGAGAGATGGATCCGATGGACTGAAGGCCCGATACGGCGGACCAGTCACACAGTAGACCCGATGTGCATGGCTGTTCTATGTTATGTTATGTTATGTATGTTTTATGTGTTTTGGACCGGAAGGTCGCGGCTTGGAAGGGCATATACGTGGTTGGTATTTTGGGGGTATCTCACTAAGCTTTCGGGCTTACAGTTGTGGTTTAATGTTTTTCAGGTTCTTCAGGAGCCTGTTGCAAGGCGATGGCACGATCGTACCGCTCCTCATGATTTCGTAACAACGTGATTCTGGAATACTTAAATGACTTGTATTGTAAACATCTTAATGAAAATCGGGTTGTTTTGAAAATTTTAAATTGGTTA